TATTTTTTGCTTGCGTTCCTATAAGCCAGGATTTTTGTTCGAACAAAAATGTGTCCAATAGCATCCGCAAGAACGGAAACGCTATATATCACTGATTTGAACTTGCAGGACTTTCACCTCCTGTTCTTGCGCTTTCCTGGGGCGCATATAAGATTGAGAAGACAAAATGCTATTCAGAAGTATGGTGTGCGCGGTGCAAGAATCATCTGCACCGAGCATTTATCACCCGAACAATAGCTCGCTCACCTTCTCTGAATCGTCATTTGTTCGAGCAAGAAGAATTGAAATACCCAGATGCATGAATGGCAGTGTAAAGTCTAAAAAAAGATGCAAATTAGGAACGTTCAACGAAAAAAGACCATCTATCAAGACTCGCAGAGAAATAAGGATCGGGTGTTCCCCACTAACCAACGACTTCCACCCTACTGTAAGTGATCGTAACCGCTGAGATGGAGACATCGGCTTCATGCCGTTGCAAGGCGCCGATGATGCCGTTCCATCGTCCTGACTCGTCCTGCAAGTATCACACATTTGAAAGTACACATCTCATTGTTCGGTGTCGGAATAAATTCAGGTGAAGAAAGAATTCTGAGCTCAGACAAAGCCTGTGCCGTACAGTGCAGTTCACTGAGGAGGGTTGGGCGTGTCAGGCGGGATGAGTTTGGCGCGGTGCCAAACCTTTCTCCACCAGTTGTTAAAGCGAGCAAATGATATGACTGTATCATATCGTTCGTATTACTCGTTTTCTACCACTTTTTGTCGCATGCGCGCTTCAACAAGAAGGCAGAGAACGGCTTTGACGGGGTGACACACTCATACTGCCTGACACGCCCAACCGTCCGCAGCGAACTAGGGTATACCTCTATGCCGTAGCTTCCATCTTGAACTTCGATGATCGTGTAGTTGAACTTCAGAATGGCCGCCATCTCATTAAGAAGATCGATGCAGAATCCTTCATATTCGTTGTTAGAATTCTTTATCACGAACGGTTCTTCCTAAAATCCAATCTACGTCAGGTTGTTGCAAGCTGATTTGATAAGGGCTTCAGCGTGATCCACCTGGCTAGTCCTAAAAACTTGCTGGGGCTACTGAGTTAACATGGCTTTGGAAAAGGCGGTTGTTCCGGGTATGTGGCAAGAGAATCGTAATCCGCCGCGCCTGTGGGCGTCGCGTGCGACGTCGCGCCCGCTAATGACGACGATTTCAGGATGGTATTCGGTTAGACAATGTATGACCAAAAATAGACATAAGTGTCTACCATTTCCTTGTCTACATGAAGTTCGATGCTCCAGTCCCATAACCGCGCGCGACGAAGCGGCAGCTGAGAATTCTCTTGCCCGTCTCCCGGTTGTTCCCAAGATTGGGTTGATCCCCACAACTGCCCAAAAGCTGTCCTGATCCCTTCAGCAGCGTTTCTGTGCATCAGGAGGTGTTATGCTGCATTTCATTATATTTAGGAAACTGCTGAGAAAGTTGCCAGGCCCAGTTCTCTTGAAAATTAACCATCTTTAATAGAACGTGCTTCTTACTTGTTTTGGCAACAGGTCGGCTAGGTGGAACAGCGTTTATTGAGGTCTGCGTAGTAAGTCCTTTGAAAAGGTGCCGTTACAAATTGGATTTTTGCCATTGCCACGCTACCTGCCCAGGAACGACGCACTTCTCTTGCGAGGAGCTACACTCCTTATCCCTGAGCCAGAGTAGGCGTGGCATTTGAACATGGCACGGAACTGGTTACTCGTGGAATATTCCAGTCTGGGACAACTGTCATCTTGTTCTGTGTTGGAACAATTGTGTCAAGATGAAAATATCTCACCAGAAGCATAGACACCTTCAGGTTAAGTTGAAACATGCGGCCACGCCTACCCGATCTCAGGGATTTCGAGTATATTTCAAGGCTCAAGCGATTTTGACCAATGTGAAGATGCCCCATTTCCTTTTTTCGCCTCCTCGGAGTGAGATTCATTACTGCGACATGTAAAACGCAAACTTCCTAGCTAGGTGACTCGGCATATCGCTGCTCTTCCTTATGAAAATCAGCCTTGGTGCGAATGCCACGCGCGGGAAATTTGCCCTTCTTGTACAAGGACATCTTAAAATGATGAGACCAACACATAAAAAAAATCCCAATACGTAAAAAAATCGCAACCAAACACATGTACATCAATTAGCCAATGTGCATGACATGCGAATGCATCTCCCCCGCTGCTTCGTCGGCTTCTTTCTGAACGCACGGCTCTATTTAGTCTTCATCGTAGCCATCCGCGCGCTTTGCGAAGGCGAAACTGTTTTTTGTTCGCTATGGCATGTCTGAACCGTGTCGGGAAGGTAGGACGGCTCCGCGCATGGCCCCGTCTCCTATTGTTGAAGAGAGCGGCGACAGCAACTTGGTGAAAATAGCTACTTGCAACGCCCAGCTGGAGGGAATGGGTTTGCGATTGGTGTAGATATTCGACCATCATTCTATTACATTCCTTAAAATAAGTTGTGCTGCCCTCCCCGGCGTTCAGCATGTTAAAATAATGGAGCCATAAGTTTAAAAGGCATTGGCAGCGAATAAATCGCCTACAAAGGGGTAGGATTTGTTTCACTGGGCTTCAAACAGATTCCGTGAGCTCGGACAGGCGCTGCGTGAAAACCTTTCCCAAGGAGGGCACATCTTAGCGGCCGTCTATTGAGCAACATGCTTTTTAAAGCGTTCCCTGAACCCTGTTCCTTGCCCGCCCGCCCACAAACGGACGACCGTTCTGACGCTCGTACTGCTTCATTTGCTAAGCAAATTATGAAGCAAAGGGATTGGTGTGAAGCGGCCGTGATGCTGCATGCATACATGGGTACATACATATATGCAGCCGTACCTTCGGTAGCGGTGATTGGCAAGGTGCGTACGGGAAACTCGTCGCTATCTGATTTTACAAGTACTGAAGGCTTTTTCTTCGCCGGATTTTGACCGTTTCACTCCGTTCTTTCGCCATTTCCCCACTATACAGCGCCCTACTAGCATTTTAGGCTAAGTAGGAAACCATCGTGCCAACTGCCTTTAAGGAAATAGGCGGGATACAGTATCCAAAACTGCACGTAAAAATAAGCGGTGGGATAGGCGAGTGCATACAGAACCCCTCAGCTCTTTTCCAAGCAGTATGTACCTGGCTACGGGTGGAGAGCGCAATCGACGTCACTTTCGCTTCCTAGCCTCACCACGGAACTTCCTCTGCTAATTGTATGCGTTCACTGGACCAACAAATTTAATTTCAAGTGCAATTTTTGGGGTACTACAGACCTCCTGCTCTTCTGAAGACACTTGCAATCGTGTTGTTCAAAGACACACCATGGGCTAAAGGCTGCCATAGATAAAAATCGTTCATTGATTTATAGACACTTTATGGTTTTTGCCTAAGACCAACCAGGAACCTTCGATGAATCAGAACTGCAGTGGTTGACTATTGCAGCTTTTCTCAATGATAGTTCGCTGAAGAGATGTGACTCAGCGAATCCGCTCACCAGGTATACGACCACTCGCAAGTGAAGTCCAGCAAGATCGTCTGCATCTGGGTCGATGTCGAACTCCCACTTATTTGCATAACGGCCGTCAAATTGCCAACCAGTCCGTTCCGCCCAACTGCCGAGCTGAAACAAACTTCATTCTCACTGACATCTCAGAATGGATTACTCTGAACAGATGAATCTACAGCAGAAAAATTCTCATGAAATTATTCAAACATTGTTTTTTTTCAGAAGAAATTTAATATTCAAAATAGAGACGGGTAAGGTACAGCATCATGATGCATAAAATGGCGTTGTTAGTACGACCCTCCTCTCCTCCCTAACACCTACCTACCGATTTCCCACATTTTCAGTTTTTCACCCAAAGGTTTTCCGTCCAGCTGGGGGGGGGGGGTCGTACTGACAACAACTACCAAATATGAACCCTCCCCCTCCTCAGCAACCAAGTACGATTCCCCATGAGTGCTACACAACGATGCTATACTCCGACTGCTAATGGTTCGGTTCAGGGGGAAGGGGTGTTTGAAAATGTTATGAAGGAAGGAGGAGGAGGAGGGCTGTTAGGAGGCACCGAAATGGGCCTTTAGTTCAGTAATCCAAAGCTCAAGGCATGACACTTGAGGTACGCCTGTCGCCAAATACGACCCCTGCCCCAATTCATTTCCTCCAGTACGAACTCTCTTCAACCAACGTCTAAAGCAGCTTCGCATCATTGTCGCGAGATGGACTGTTGCTATCTGTTAAGTAATAATGAGGCTATCACATGAAGAGATCGCGCAAGCAGATGAGGTTCTTATTTGTCTCTAGTTGCCTGGAGATAGGGGGGAGTCGTGTCCTGCTGCCGGTCTGTGTCCTTTTAGAGAGATGTTCCGACTCGTTGAAGTTCCCTCCGGTTATTTCCCTGGTTGGCGCAGCGCACGCTATATAATTTACCGCACGCGACTGTCGTCTCAGGGCAGCATCGTTGCTTGAGGAATTCCCACACGGGGAGGTCGTATTGGTCGCCCCCAAGGGAGGAAGGTGGGAGGGGGTCGTATTTCGCGGGTGAAGGAAAAGGTCGTTCTGATAGTTGAAATTTTCTCGCTTCACGGGAACGTTGTAACAGGGGGACAGTCATACTTGGGCTTCATCTTTGGGACGGGGCAAGAAGTCCGTATCCTGATTCCCAGCCCCTGCCCCCGATCGACGGCTCGATTCGATGAGGAGGGGCAGAGGGCCGGAGGGAGGGGGGGGGGGTCGTACCAACCCCCCCCCCCTCCCAAAAAAAGGGGAGGGGGCGTACGGACTCGACTAAAATCCCCAACCAATGATGTGCCCTGTTCGTCGCTCAAAGGCAGCTTCTGGGGAAAAACTGAAAAAGTCTTTAAGCAAGCGGCAGAAGGTTGGGAAAAACTGAGAAGGAGGTGTTTTGGATGGAAAAGGGGTAAGGGGGGGTCGTACCGAAAGAGGAACTTTCCAGAGGGTGCGTGACTTGCGAAATTTTTTCTCAGCGGCAAAACATGCCCTGTAAAGTAACCACGACCTGCGGGGAAAGACAGGCCGTAGCGCGTTTGTAATGGGAAGACCAGCAATAAGAAAAAGTTATCCCAGATCGGGTCGGACCTTCCCCTCCAGCGACCCGAAACGACCCCGCAGAGGTTTCCCAATGTGCGACGCGCCTTGATGGGCGACATCTCATCACACCGTCAGTGATGAGAAAAGTGCGTCTCACCAGTTCCCCATTTCACCGCCATTTTCCTGCGTTTTTCATGTTCTCTTCACTTAGCGCTGATTAATGAGGAGTTTACCTGGGACGGAGAAAGCGATCTGGAGTGGGCAAACCAACTCCTTCATGCCAGAGAGGTTCCGCGTTTCTTGGCATGCGGTTCAGATTCCAAAGCTCCATTTTCTTCCACGAAATAATGACAGTCATGAGACATCAGGGGACAATGTGAGATATTTCAGGGCATTTTTTATCGATGAGGAATTTCATGGCAAAAAGACCTCCCGTTTCAAAGCGACGAGCAAATACCTCGTCATCCGGGCAGTTGATTAGGGCGGTCGTCAACGGGCCGCAGCGCGTGCCAGGAACTATTTGCTTTTTCCAGGCTAATTTAGTCATTTTTTCCACCTTGTGAAGATAAGGAGCTGCTAATCTTGGAAAAAGTAGCCAAAACAGTGAAAAGTTGGAAAAAATGACTAAATTAGCCTGGAAAAAGCAAATAGTTCCTGGCACGCGCTGCGGCCCGTTGACGACCGCCCTAATCAACTGCCCGGATGACGAGGGGTACCCCCTGCCCCCAGTAGGAGTTTCCCAAACGTTGTGGTTGTGCACGTGAAACAGGAAAAAGAATATCTAAAAAATTCCTCAAGCTAAATACGACCCCCTCACTCCAGCGACGTCCTCTCTCGCTGAGGACTGCCGAACGTGCGACTTCTCTTGATGGCCATACACGCATCCAGTTCAATGGACTGCGGCCTATGCTGACGAGCGCTGGAGAACCGCTGGATTTCAAGGTTATGGTAGAGTTCTAAAAATGGTCACTGAACCCTCACGCAAGTTTTGTTGCCTGCAGAACAAGACATTGAAAACCCAATCCGGCTCGTTTTAGCTACGGGTCTGGGCTTTTTAGAGGTTCCAAGGGTGCTAGACTTGGCTAATTTCCCTAAGTGTTCCGGTTTGCACCTGGACATCGTTGGTTCCATCTTTGAAGATCTTCAGTAGTGTTTTCCAACAGGGTATTATCCAGGAAAGGCACGTGCGTTTAAAACTGGCAACAGTGTCGAGCATCACGATGAGGAAAACTGGCCGTGTCCCTCCCTCATTGCCCCAAAAGTGGCTGTCGGAACGGTCCCCACCAGGAGAACGAAAAGCTTGATATCGATGCTCAGTGGATGCTCTACCCTGAACATTAGCCCCCATATCAGACTTGTAGGACGTTACGGGAATATCTGACCTTTTCCACTCCATTAGGGGAATCGTGGATGTCAGTGGTGGGTGGAATTTAATCAACCACTCGATGCTAATTGTCTGTTTCGTTCCGCAAAATTTCCGCGTTTCATTAGTCAAAAAGCAACAAGCCACAGTGCGGGCAACCAGTACAACGAAGGCCGCGGCTGTAACGTAGTCGCGTCACTTTGAACGCGATCTCGATTCTCGTCCTCCCTTGAGTGAGCACGACTTCATGAAGGTCGTCTGCTGGCATACTGTTGTGCATGTTCAGGTCTAAGGATTAGGGGGGACAGTCTGAAGTTCGACAGTAGGCAGACCAATCGATGAAAAGTGGAAACTTTGGAAAACACAAACGGACAAAGTCGACCCCGTTCCAAGTGCCCATCTCTCACCTTTCCGTCGTCCGCAACATTGATTGCGTCGATTCATAACAGGCGAAAAAAGACACACTAAGCAATAAATTGCCTAGTGAAGGCAACTTGCCAAATAAGTCCCTCAATAGCCCTCTTCTCCGTAGTATAGCCCTTATTGAGACCTTGCATCGAACAAAGACTCCCAGTTTAGCTGTTGTAAATTTGAGGTTCACAAACCAGTTTTCCTCGAAAAACATGCAGACATAAGAAGAACTGCCTGGTAAAATAAGACCCTATGAAGGTCGTCGTGCCGCTAAACCACTCGAAGGAAGGAAACCCGTTCCTATGGAGAATACACAACAAATTGTAAACATTCTGCCAAAGGACGTATTTTTTCGCTCGCTGGGATGTTTTGAGTCCAAATAGCGCAGATGTACATGTGTCTGATGTCTGTCGTGATGTGATGTCTGTATCCTGAAGTAAGGTGGGCCGCAATTGCGTACTTTATGATGATGATGGCGGCAGTGGAATTGGAGAATATTAGTATTTTCTGCCAACGAAAAGTTTCGTCGTTTGCATTAGAAGTTCAGTGAAACTCAACATATAAATGGAATTCGGAATTGAAACCTAAGGAAGCGGAATAATACCAGGACAGAACAGAAATTTCTGGGGCAACGCCACGCGTCCGCAGTCTCCTGTCGCCGTGGGATACACGGTATAGCATGGGTCTGAATGCTCTCAAGAGATACGGAATATGGAATCATGGCCAGTAAGAAGAAGTAAGGCGTGTGAGGGGGCGTGAAGTGGATTAGAACCAAGACGGCCTTTTCAACCAATGATGACACCTTGAGTCCCAACAACTATCGGAAAAGGCTGCCCTGACTGCGGTCCGTTTCACCTTCTTCACATGCCCTATCGCTCGCAGGGATCATGGTCATACCTGGATTATTGGGTTTGGTATTATATCTGAAGGCAGTGCCAACGTTCCGGCGATTCCCGTGCCAGCTCTTTTCTCCCATAGAAACGTCTCTACCTCTCTTCTATCTGGATTCTGCAACCTTAGGCTGCATTTCATACTTTACGGCAGCGTCCACCACCGACCACCAGCGATCATCAGCGTTGTGAGCGTCCGTCAGCGTCAGCGACTAGAAAAGTATAATTATCGATCCAGTGAACGGCAGCGCCTACGAGCTAGATCGATATCTATACTTTCCTAGTCGCTGACGCTGATGGTCGTTGGTGGAAGCTGGTGGCAGCTGGTGGAAGCTGTCGCAAAGTATGAACGCAGCCTTAGCAGCTACGCCCCGGACTGCCCTAAGCTAGGCCCTCCAGAAGGCGACATATCTTCTAGCACGTTGATGAGGTGACGTCCTAAGAACACCTTCATTACATCCTTCTGACGTCATAAGACTCGTCATTAATGTGCCCTGTGACGTATATGACACGTCATCCATCCTTGTCAGCAATGTGCTGGACAGCGTCCTCATGCTATATCAGCGCCGGGAGAATGTTTTAAGAACAAGATAACAATTAAACAAAGCAAGTGTATGACCTGGCTGCGTGCCTGAAAAATCTTATGAAATCTCCTTATTAGCCCACTTCCGATAAAAACCTGCCGTAGTGCAAGCGGGTGTTCTGTTTGCTTGTGAACTGTGGTTAGACGGGACTCATGAGCGGAGGCAAACATAGTCGATCAATCCAAGAAGGATCAGACGAGACCAAGGCGAGAAACGCGACTGTTTTGTTGACAAACACCTATGTTCGGAACCAGTCGTATCATACGTGAACAAACTCAGGAATCAAAGTGGATTACGCAAGACCAGACGAAACAAATACAGTATCCCTGTGAACAGACTAACAAGTACCGTATCTCTGGATTATGGAATACCCACGAAAAGTGTTAGGGTGAACGGTTGAGGAGTCAAGAATTGAAATCCACTAAGAGTACCCATTTTACCTGTTTACCGTAATCCCAACCCAACCCAGGCAAGTGATATCTTTCACCTCCGAAAACAGGATAGGTAGCACTAGAACAGTCGATTGATCAAGGACTTCACACTTCAGGGACAGTTTTCAGCGCGGTTTAGACGGCTGACCTTTCGAATTGGCTGAACTGTTGACCTATGCAGCAAACTGCAGGTGGACAAGGATGCCCTATGGTTTGTTGTGTGATCGAAAAATTGTGTTTGATGTCAGTTCTTTTCGGCTTTAAAACGTAACAATTAAACGAATAGTGCGATGCGTCTTTCTATAGGGCTAAGAACCTGTTTGAGACGGTCTCGGGTATAAAAGGCTGCCGCGGCAGTGCACCGTCAGCCTTTAAGTCATGCTCAAACTCGCCGCCCTCGTCTGTTTTGTTGCCGTTTCGTTCGCTCAGGAAGCACAAGGACCTCCACCGTTTTTGGCCAGTGTCAGTTTTCAGTTCTATTCTGCTGTAGTCTGTCGAGATAATGTAGACAGAAGAAATTTTCTTAACTCCTCTACTCTTTAATAATCAAGTATTCTAGGCCTCCCCTGCTAAACAAAAGGAGTTCGAGGCACTGCTGGCTAATGCAGGGAGCATGACCGATCCCCAAATTGACAAGGCCGTCACGGACTGGATTGCAAAGCAGGACCAGAAAATTAAGGTAAGCAACTTGAACCCTTCTCGGCTTCGGTTCGACATTCTTTACTGATTCTATTCTTTTCCTTTGAGTAATAGAATTTCTGCTATTGTATTTAAGATCAACCAGAATTTCAGACCGCCTTTGACGAGTTTGTGAAGCAAGTGAAGGCAGCTCAGGCTAAAAGCGAAGCGGCTCACCAGGCTGCTCTCAACAAGTTCAGTCCGGCAGCGAAGGCGGTGAGTTGAACGCGTCACTTTCGAGGATTCTGCTAGTTTTACCCAAGATGCTCGTACGGCATGCCCTTGTCGTTTAGGCAGATGCAAAACTCTCAGCAATCGCTAACGACCAAACGAAGACTAACAATGCAAAGGCTGAGGAGATTAGCGCCCTAATGGCTTCACTGCCAGCAAACGTTCGTACCGAGATCGAGACAGCAATGAAAGGACTATGAAAGGGTTGTTGTGTATATAAGGGGCAAAATAAATATTTGAAAGCTTACTAATCCGTATTAGATGTGTATAGCTAGTAATTCTAAATTAATTTATTTCGTTAAGGAGGTTGTGCGGGCTGCAAACCTCTGAGAACTATCCTGAAATCTTGACCTTAAACGGAGTGAAATTTGCGGTGGCTGACTCCGACTGGGGTCTTCCCCAATTTTTTCGGAAAATTTTGCCACTTTTTCGGACTTTTCTCGCTGCTTTCTAAAACTTCTCCACCCATCCCCCAAAATCCTAAGAAAAACTGTCGTTGAGCGGGGTTCATAGCGCTTCTTCCAGTACAAGTTTCACACTTTCACCAGTTTTACTAGAACGTGACCAGTAACCCATCCGTAATCCCAGTCCACTTTCTGGGCCATTTCCTCATAAATCACCTATTCATAATCCAATCAGGACCTGCAGCACTGCGGGTTTCCCTCAATGAGAGTTGTGGCGCAGGTAAATCTCAGTTGCATGGGAGGGATTATTGATGGCCTGGAGTGAATTTTCGTAGTTTTGCAGTCCAGACGCGATTTGGTCGGTGATATCTGAAACTTGCTTTCGCTGATAGTAAAATCTGCAGTAATTAGCAGTACCGGTCTACCCAGATGCCCTGTTCCGCCCCTCCCCGTTCTGTAACTAGATGAATATTGGGGTGGTACTAGGAAAAAAGTTCCCATCGCCGTTGTGGCTGTGAATCCCACCAGCAACGCAGGGTAATATGTCAACATGTCAACAAATTCCAATGTGGGCCCATTCTTCAGACAAATGGGATGAACTGGCTTCTTTTTCTGTTGGAAACGCTTTGCTGTGAAAGTGATAAAATGAATGATGAGGGGATAGAATTGCCCTAATCGTTCATTCGACGCCTCTTCACCCCTTTCTGTTTGTGGATGATTTCGTCTGCCCCTTTGCAAAGAAATGACATTGGACTAGTTTTCGATGTGCCAAAATCACAACACAATTTGTCGTCACCGACAGCAGTCCACCAGAGTGTAAAACGTCTATGAAGTCTATCAATCAACCTTTTAGTTAGGGGGAACCTGAACGAATATGAAAAAAAAATTCGCGCGTTATCTGCACCAAATCTGCACCGTTCTACTGGGGCTGTTCGATAACGAGCGGAACCGAAAAACTTGATAGAAACAGTCGGAAAATATTTTTTTTTCAGATTCAATCCGTGGTTTGTGATGATCTGAACCTGTGATCTATGTTTGTAGCCTAAAATCGGTTACAAGTGTAAAGCGCATCAGTGCTAGGGTAGAGCATCGTTGGGAGAATCCCACAAGGAACAGGGTGCAAAGTCGGAATACGTGAAGCGGTGGTGTCAATACAACCCCTTTCCCTAATCGTACATGCTTCCCAGAACCTTTCCATTTCTTCACCAACTTCCTAGAGAAACTTGATGCTTCGTAAAAAGCTCTTGTCAAGCGAGGGAGGGAGGAGGGGAAGCCATTAATCAGCTACCAAAACCAACCACCGGAAAAGTTTCGTCCTAATTCTGCGGCACCCTCAACTAGTAACGCACACATAGTGCACGTAAAATGGAAAAATCGAGAAAAGTCAACCATACGAGTAAAAATTTAATCATGGCTGGGAAGAATTTGCGCTCAAACTCGGCAAGGACTCTAACCAACCGAGTACGACTCCCTAGGGATTTTCGCCTCGAGGGTGTACTCTGATCAGAAGGTCGTTTTCGCTTGGTGTAAAGTATCTGATTTCGAGCCTTCAAGCCGTGAACGAAATTCTTCCGGTTAATAATTTTTTCGCCTTCAAGCGTGCTACCCCTCCTTTCCCCGCCTCCTCCCCACCTCCTGCTCGATGGCAGCTTTTTTGGAACAACTGGCATTCGGGAAATCGCCAGAGAATTGAAAGAATCTGAAGAGGTAGTAGGTAGGCGGGTCGTACTAGAAGAAGAAAGGTTGGCCGTATTGCGAGGCTCCAGCCTCTTCTCCTTCTTTTCACTTTTCAGCGTGCAAAGCGCTATTGTTCTCAGCTTGCTCCTGTGCTGTCAAAAAGATTGTTATGACTCAAGTGGGCTGTAGCATTCCCAAGACGGCACGCCATAGGGATGTGTGGAGTGGTGTATAAAAAGGACCCCATTTCCCCTCCCCAAGGGGAGCGTGTCTCAGAATGACCTCTCCCAAGTGCGGTCGAGTGAGAATTTCGAGCCTCATGCTAACACTTTGAACTACAGGCAGCAGATTATTTTCCTGACTACCGCGAAGTACCGCTCCCTTAAGCAACATTAATTTCCTGCGAAGTGAAATTTTGGTGGAAAATGAACATCATTGTGAATCACTATGTCTGCTGTTTGTAACTGTACAAAAACTCTGAGCCCATCTATGTGCGAAAAAACGTCTTTGATGGGCTTGAAAATTGGCGAAAAACAAGAAGAAACACACGCACGTTTTTATGCTTAAAACGACCGTGACTTTTTTCGTAACAGACTTTCGTAGACACAAAAAACTGCTGGAAAGTACAGCAGTTCCGCTTATCAAAAAGCATACACTTTCTTGAAGACTCGCTAGTTTGAGAGATATGTCAGATGTTTGTGAAATTTGAACCCTCAAGTGACTCGATCCCTCTGAGCCATGTAACTCAGATCGTACCTTCTCGTTCGAGTGAACAGGCTACAAAACTGTTTCTTTACTATCGATTGGTCCTGCCCGAGTGTGCGCCTTATATACGATCCTACTCTGTGACTACTGAAATGTCTAAGGCACTCCCATTCGGAATCGTTGTGGCGTATTGAATGCGACATGGCATGTGAGGAGGGGAAGGGTTACCCGATGTACAAGTCAGTGTTCTTGTCCTCCCAGACAAGTAGGGTACTAAATAATCCACCGTCACCAGAGCGTTTGGGGCTCAGTTGACCTGGGCGGGAGCTGGCCCAAGATTTGATCCCCGCACCGTGGGCGTGGTAGGCGTGCTGAAGATTCCACCTCGGGCTCGCACAACCGCACTTCCTCCTCATTCAAAGGTATGGTTCTGAAAGCGAATGCTTGTTCAGACCCATGTCATGCCGGGCCTGAGAAAAGCTCTGAGTTTTGATTTCAGTACTGATTGATCCCGCCCCTTCGATCCGATCCTCACCCTATATAAGGTTCTAATGCGAGCCCCGGTGATCATTTTGAACTAGGGTCTTCACTGTTTCCCAATTTCATAATTTACAGTCCTCATCATTGCGGACCGGTGGGGCGTGCCAGCCAGAAGGAGTGCGCACACTGTTGAAGCCGTTCTCAGCCTTTTTTGTTGCAACGCGTATGCGACAAAAAGTGGTAGAAAACGAGTAATACGAAGGATATAATACAGTAATGCACTTGCCCGCTTCAAAAACTGGTGCAGAACGATTTTGCCAAACCGCACCAAAGCAGCCGCACTGCCACGCCCCACCGGTCCGCAATGATGAGGACTGTACAGCGTTCACAGGGCACGTTTAGTCACAACTGTGCCTTGAGCGAAAGTCCTGATGAATTGCGGATCGGCTGTTCACAAGTGATGCTGAGATATCCCAGTTTCGTTACGACAGCGATTACGCAAAATATGAGAGAAGAAGCGTAACCGTCACCGTCATCACACTGAAGGACTCGTCGATGTCACTATTGGAACGTGAATGTTGTAGAGAAAACCAGAAAGCCGTCTTGGAAAGGTTACGAGAATGTGAAAGATAGTTGGAATGCACGAGAAATTTCGGTTGCATGATTTTTCTGCGGTTCCGCTACACTTTTTAGTGTAACTCACAATTCGCTTTTGTTATTTGGAAGACAAATCAAGTGGTGCGGCGAGCGAAGTAGAACGCCGCTGCCAATCGTCCTATGGTCTGCAGTGATATTGACTTTTGTAGGTTCACATTAGAGAACTTAGTCGATGAGAACCGCTCGCTGGGGAGCAGGGCATGTCGTACGCTGTGGGATCCCCAGCGAGACAGTGGGGGATCCCCGCTAGTGTCTTAGTCGTTCCGGTGGAGGGAGACAGCCTAAGAAAATCCCTTGATAGATGATTTACTTCATGCTCCCCCAGTCGGCTGTCCACTCAATGTGCTATACAAACACTATTTTTTTGATAGTCGGAATTTTTTGTGACGTTCCCTTCCTCCTCGAAGGCAGTTTTTTAGGAAAAAAATGGAACTATTCTGTGGAAAATTTCGGAAAAGTGGTAGGGAAGTTCAGAGAAGGGGTGAATTGAGAGGGGGGGTGTGTTTTGCAGAAAATTTCCTCAGAGACAGAAGTGCCCTGCTGGGGAGGGTATTTCAGATTGTGAGAGGAAGGGTGAGTGCTTTTTTTCATATTCAGTTTAGTTGGTGGTTGCTCGGATGTCTGCGTACTCCAATCCCTTGTTGGCGGAGAGAAAGGGTGGATCTATTTTGGGAAGTTGCCATTACAAGCATACGCCTTGGGTAAGATGGTCCATGAGAATGCGTCAGTTTCTCATTCCTTTTGATGATCCAAGTTTCAGAATTTTTACATTTTCGTTGCAAATGAAACTGGTAGTGAAGGACTTTAAAGGGGACAGGGAAGAACTTTGCTTTCCAGTCCTGCTGATTGATATCCGCTGAGGTCAACGACGCAGGAACGGCACTGGCAGTTCTAGGACTGCGAAAGGGACGAAATTGTCTGTCGTTCCAAATTAGATAGGCTGCCAAAGTTCGGAATGCAATCACATTTGCAGCAGACCGGAGATCGGAATGGTCAAAGATATTATATTTAGATGCGATCCTTGGTCCAGAACTGCTACTCGACTGAGTCCCACGAGACATTATGCGGTTATGGTCTCGTTTATTAGCCCAGTGTTCGGTCTCCATTGGGAAGCGAGGGGTTCATCTCAGGAATCACATTCAGTTCTCCTTTGTCTCTTCAAGCAAGATCAACACCCAGTAGGACTTGTACATCATCTCCAACGCGCTGTCATTAGAAAAGCATAGATTCAGTCTATCCGGCTGGCCTAGGTCCGTCAAAGTCACCAACCTGAAGAA